GTAAGTGACTTGTGATGGAGTTCAGCATAGACTGAGAACAAGGACACACTTGATTGCCTTGAAGTGGGGAGGGAGCCCCAAGTGGGCTGTTTGGAATATGTTCAATAAGAGAACTATCTAGAAAAGTGCTATGTTTCAGAAAACTTGCTCTGTCTCTGCAGTCAGCTATGCTGGTGGTTTTTATATAAAACTGTCAACATTTAATGTAAGTAGATAATATATAATATATTGTAGTTATTTTGAAAACGGCAGGAGGAACCCTAGAGCATCCCACTCGATTTATAAAGTATCATTTTCCTCCCACTTCAGGTTGTGTATTTAAATTTCTTGTGTTGACTATACAGTGTTTTGATAGTGTCTAGGAAGTGAACAGTGTGCCCTGGTGCCTTTGATAGTATAGAAAACCTCAGAGCGTATGGTTGTACTTAAATGCTCTTATCAATTATTAAGTTTGTCATAATTGGTTCCTTTGAGACTTTCAGTATAATTATCATTGTTTTTTTTTTTTTTTTTTTTTGACACAGGGTTTCTCTGTGTAGCTTTGTGCCTCTCCTGGATCTTGCTCTGTAGACCAGGCTGGCCTCAAACTCACAAAGATCCACCTGGCCCTGCCTCCCAAGTGCTGGGATTAAAGGCGTGCACCACCACTGCCTGGCTGTTTTTTTAATATTAAACTTCACTGAAGACACATGAAAGAATAGAAGTATTATAACCATGTTTTGATTATAGACACATTTGAACTTCAGTATTTAGATTATGTATAAATATGATGCTAAGTCACTGGGGAGAGCCTTTCAGAAAATTTCTGTTATTCTCAAGACTACTTCAGATATACATTTAAAATATTTTTGACAGTTTCATACATGTATATAAAAATTTCAGTGATTTTCACCCTTCCCATTACATTACCACCTCTCACCCTTTTTCTACCTCTACCTGAAACCCCTCTTCCCCCCACCTACTCTCATGTCTTTGTGTGCACCTGACCCACTGAGTTTAATTGGGGTTGCTTGCATGAGCATCAGTAGGAGGTTATTTACTGGAGTGTGGGCATCACATGAGTAGCTATACCATTGAAGAAAATGATGCCCCGTCCCCAGCAACCGTTAACTGCCAACAGGGAGGGTTGGGGCATTGTGAACCCTTCCCACATCCATGATGAAATGTTGACAGGCATAATCTTGTGTAGGTAACCACAGCTGCTATGATATCTAGCCATTACAGTTTTATTACAATTTATTTATGTGTATGTGTCAACATGCATTCGTAGAGCTATGAGTGGTGGTGCACACCTTTAATCCCAGCACTTCATAGGCACAAGCCTATGAGATCACAAGCCTTGATCTCTGTGAGATCAAGGCCAGAGAGTTCCAGGAAAGCCAGGGCCACATAGCAAGACCCTCTCTCAAAAAACAACAACAACAACAACAACAACAACAACAACAACAAACAACAAAACAACAAAAACAAAAACAAAAAACAAACAACAAAGAAAAACCCCAAACCAAAAACAAAACAAAACAATTTAAAAAAAAAAGAGCCGGGAGATGGTGGTGCACGTCTTTAATCCCAGCACTGAAGAGGCAGAGGCAGGTGGATCTCTGTAAGTTTGAGGCCGGCCTTTTCTACAGAGTGAGACCCAGGACAGGCTCCAAAGCTACAGAGAAACCCTGTCTTGAAAAACAAAAACAACAATGACAAAAAAGAAAGGAAGGAAGGAAGGAAGGAAGGAAGGAAGAAAAGAAAGAAAGAAAGAAAGAAAGAAAGAAAGAAAGAAAGAAAGAAAGAAAGAAAGAAAAGAAAATATAGAGAATAACATGTGGGATATCTGAAGAGCAGTGAGGCTTATGACCTCTGGACTCTACAGCATTTGCTTCTATTTTTGTTTAAACACATTTTGTCACTCATGTGAAAATTGTGACGTAAGGGTGGGAACCCATGTATATGATTCTTACTTACAGGACATTTCTGTCTCATCTCTCTCTCTGTATCAGGTTCACCGCTTAGACAGCAGTCTCCATGACATGGAGGCCATGGGTACCTTTGAATAGACACAGTAGCACATTTATGGATCCCTGGGACGGACCCAGTAGGGTGGGGCGGATTGATAAGGAAACGGGTGCTGGTTTGATGGAACCAGGCCAGGGGTAAGGGGAAAGTCTGGGGGTGAGTGGGAGGAGACTTTCCCTGGAGGGATGGGCAGGCAAGTGGGCTCCACCTTACAGTTCTGATGTGTCTCTTAGGGGTGAGAACACATAAAGGAAAGAGAATAACTCAGTCTCCTAGGATTATTGAGACTAGAAAGAGCCTTGGAAAGATTGTTATAATATAAATCTGGACTTGTCCACTTAGCTACCTGTCTATAGCCAATTAATAAATTAAAATGAGAATAATTACTCGCCCTTATAGTTAAAAACTACTAACCAGAAAAACCAGAGCAACCCTCATGCTTTCTTTTTTCCTCTCATGGTTTCAGAGGGATTGTTAGGGTTTTATTTTTTTTTTTTGTGGGGGTGGGGGGAGAGGCAGTTTACTAAGCCTGAAGCTGTGGGAAACTTTGGGGGAGAGTAGGTAGATGCTAAGTAAGAAGGTTTTCTATTGATAGATTCATATTTCTGTGGGTTATATGTTTTTTTTCTTATTTTTAAAATATTTATCTTAATTTTATGTGTATGTATGTGTGCTTGAGTGTATGTCTGTGCACCATGTGTGTTGAGGTGCCTACAGAGGTCAGAAGAGAGGTCAGATCCCCTGGGTTTGGAGTTACAGATGGTTGTGAGCTGCCATGTGGGTGCTGGGAACTGAACCCAGGTCTTCTGAAAGAGCAGTAAGTGCTCTTAACTGCTGAGCCATTTCTCCAACTTCCGTTTTTTTAATTTTTTAAAAGTAGGTTAAGTTGATATAGGAAAGACATATATATTTTCTTTATCTCTGTGGACCCTGAGTAAATACTTGCTGAGTGATAACTGACAGGGTAAAGGTTAATACAGATTTGTGGATCTAGTAATTTAGTTAATAATCTTCATGGCTGATACATTAGTTTCAGTATGTCATGAAATGCCAATCATGATTATGTGATTAAGAATATATGGTTTCTTCCTGGGGCCTATGCAGGATCGCTTGGCTCGGCCTGGGAGGAGGGGACTGGACCTACCTGGACTGAGTCTACCAGGTTGATCTCAGTCCGCGGGGGAGGCTTTGCCCTGGAGGAGGTGGGAATGGGGGGTGGGCTGGGGGGAAGGTGAGGGGGGCCGGAAGGGGGGAGAACAAGGGAATCCGTGGCTGATATGTAGAACTGAATTGCATTGCAAAATAAAAATAAAAATTAAAAAAAAGAATATATGGTTTCTTATATAAAATCTCAGTGATTGGTTCGTGTGTGTGTGTGTGTGTGTGTGTGTGTGTGTGTGTGTGTGTACATGTTCATGTGTATGTGCATGTGCAGGTACAGGTGTGTTTGGTGGTCAGAGGCCAATGTTTATGTTTTTTTCATTTTTAATCTTGACCTTATTTTAAATCATTTAATGTGTTATGGTCAGTGGTATGTGTGCATATATATGGTGAGTGTGGAGATCAGAGAACAATTTTGTGGAGTTAATTTTCCTTTTCTACCTTTGCATGGTTCTGAGGCTTGAACTCAAGCTTGTCAGTCCTAGCCATCATGCCAGTCCTTGGTCTTAGTTTTTTCTTTTTTCTTTTTTTCCGAGACAGGGTTTCTCTGTGTAGCTTTGGCTGTCCTGGAACTCACTCTGTAGCCCAGGCTGGCCTCGAACTCACAGAGATCTGCCTGCCTCTCTCTCCCAAGCCTGGCTTAATAATTATTATTCTTATTTTGTCTGGTGACTTAGTTATTTTTCTATTGCTGTGATAAGACATAATGACCATGGTAGTTCATAGAAGGAACAGTTTATTCGGGCTTATGGTTCTAGAGCTTTAAGCGTCCAGGACGGTAGGGAACATGGCAGCGAGCTATGGCATGGTGATAGGAGCAGGAAGCTGAGAACTTGCTTCTTCAACCACAAGCCCAAAGCAGGAAGAGCAAGCAGGGTGAGGCTTTAAGCTCTCAAAGCCGGCCCTAGTTCCTCTAGCAAGGTCACACTTCCTAAACCTTCCCAAACAGTGCCAATAACTGGGGGCCAAGGGCTCAAATGTCTGAGACTGTGGGGGACATTCCTCATTCAAACTACTACATCTTGTTTAAATATCACTGCTTTCCCTTGACCTTCTCCCTTTTTTCTAATAGCTATCCAGATTCTTTTTTTTTTCCTTAAGATTTATTTATTATGTATACAGTGTTCTGCTTGCATGCATGCCTGCAGGCCAGAAGAGGGCACCAGATCTCATTACAGATGGTTGTGAGCCACCATGTGGTTGCTGGGAATTGAACTCAGAACCTCTGGAAGAGCAGCCAGTGCTCTTAAGCTCTTAACCTCTGAGCCATCTCTCCAGCCTGCTATCCAGATTCTTATTAGTTTCTTTTCTATCCGAGAAAGAAAACTGCCCCCACCTCCTTTTACAATTGAAACTCTCAAAGAAGCAACCTTGGAAACACATAGACACGCATCACATGTCTTCAGGCTTCTCATCTAAGTCTTGACAAGAATGGGCGAACCTGTGAAGAGCCTGAGCGTCATGAGTTCATGGAAGTCAGATGACTTGTCTACTGTCAGAGAAGGGTCAAGAGGTCGGCAATAGCTTTCAACTAAGACTGCTGACCAAAGGGAAACCCGTTTGGCAAGTTTGAAAGTCAGTTATGAACTTGCTAGCCTTCGTTAGAGCTAAGCCCAGGCAGCACAAGAACAGCGAACAGCTTGGGAGCCTCTTGCTTCTCCGATGGTGGATTTGGCACCTTGAGCTTCGGAGGACTGAAAAGAAGTGCCAAATAGAAGTCCCACTTTATGATGATCAGGGACCTTCTGCTTGGGAAAATTTTCTCCTTGCTGATAAGCATGGTTTTTTTTCTTTTTTTCTTTTTTTTTTGTGTGTGTGTCTGTGTACAGGCACCATGTCGGCAGAAACACCAACCACCCTGAATATGGACATTCGGGATCTGCAGATCCAGACAGTCACTGTTGAGAAGCTGCTGGAGCCTCTGATAATCCAGGTACGAGCACTTCGGGTGCTGCAGTGCGCAACAACTGTGTTTTCGCAGGATTTAAAATGGCGGGAGTAGCCAGGAGCGAAGGGCAGATTTGGTTCTAAATAGGAATGAATACATCACATAAAATTATCCTTTATTTGAACTGGTATTAGCTGGGTGTGGTGGTGCATACTTTCAATCCCAGCACCTAGGAGGCAGAGGCAGGCAATAGATCTCTGTGAGTTCCATGCCAGTCAGGTCTACACATGGAGACCTTGTCTTAATCCTTCCAAATAAGCTGGTATTAAAAATAAAAGTATGTATTTGATATTAATAATATAATTCTGAAAGTTTTCCCTCAGATTCTTTTTTGGCACCAACTGCAATATTAACACACACACACACACACACACACAAACACACACACACACACACACACACATTTGAAATTAGTAGCCTCTAACCCATGACTCCCTTGCCTCATCTTCCTTGGTGCTGGGATTATATGTGTGTATCATAATGTCAAGAGGTGTATGTATGCCGAGCAGTGGTGGTGCATGCCTTTAATCCCAGCACTCAGGAGGCAGAGGCAGGTGGATTTCTGTGAGTTTGAGGTCAGCCTGATCTGCAAAGTGAGCCGGAGCTGTTACACAGAGAAATTCCATCTCAGAAAACCAAAAAAAAGAGGTGTATATAATTAACATTTTTATTGTTATTTTATATATGTGTGCATGTGTGCACATGATGAGTGTGAATGGGCACCTGTGGAGTCAGTTCTCTCCTGGCTATCAGGCTTGTGTGGTGAGTGACTATTTGTTGAACCATCTCCCTGACTCCAGATGTATGTATACTTTGTAAAGCACTGCTACATAAAAATTATCCTGCTTATAGTCATGAAAATGGAGGCAAGTTAATATAATTGAACCATCTTTATTATGTAGAGGATTTCAGTGATTTGACCTAAGAGACATGGTATCTCATTTGTCACAAAGTAAACTGTAATTAAAATATCAAAATGTGGGAGAAAAGCAGCTATTTAAAGGAATTCTGTGATAGTCTTCCATGAAATAATCATTTGATCATATGAATAAGAATTCTCTGACTTAGTCATCACGTAAGACTTGATTTTATGTATTGGATTTTTAATTTAAAAAAATGTTTTTATTAGCATAAATTAGGTACAAAAATGGATTTCATTATGTCATTTTTATACATATATAAGATTATTTTGATCACATTGACCCCATTACCATTTCTTATCCCCATCCCACTCACACCGAGCATTTGATTTTCTTGATGAAGAATTTGAAAGAATCCATACATTGATATAGATCCAAATATTTTGCCTTTAACACCAAAACTGATAAAGCAAAACTCCCCCGTTGGCCTACCTTACATCATGCACCCGGGTCCCTTCTTCCAAAAAACATTGAACTCTCAAGGTTTACTTGGGTGAAAAACTACAGTGACCTTATGTCCAATTATTCAAAAGTGTCCTTGTCTTTTCTGTGGGATGCAATGGTAGAACAGTTCTGAGGACAGTCATAGGACATGTTTTCACTGAGCACAAATTGAGACCTACTACTGGGAAGGCAATCTAAAACATTTCTTACTGGTGATAGCTGAATTTTATATTAACTGTTGCTGTCTAAAAGGCACTAAAACCTGAAATTAACACTACTTAAGCCATTCACTGAATGCTTTCATGTTGAGAAACAAAAAATTACCTATCATCCATCCATCTATCTATCTATCTGTCTGTCTGTCTGTCTGTCTGTCTATCTATCCATCCATCCATCCATCCATCCATCTATCTATCTACCTACCTACCATCTTCATATCTATCTATCATCTACCTACTTACCTATCATCTCTCTTTCTCTCTCCCAGGTTAAATTCAAACTCAGAGTGCTCCTGCCTCTCTCTTCCGGGTGCATTATTATGTCTGGCTTTATTTTTGTTTTTTTTCTGACAAAATTCACTAAAAAATTAGAATCTCCCTGGAGCAGGGCAAAGAAAATTAAAACACATTCAATTTACTACAAAGAGACAAATAGTAGTATATTTCCTTCTAAGACAGTAAAATAGTGGGTAGTTTTTTTAGAACTATAATATAGAGAATATAAACTCAGTGGATAGTGCAGACCTGCCACACTGCCTATTTGGGAGGATGAGGTAGCCTAGGCAACATATACATATATCTATATTGAATATGTGTATATATGCACATATGTATATATGTCTACATTGAATATATAGGAATATATATTGAAAGATATTATTTTTCTTTTTTATTTCTGTGATTAAAATACCATGACTAAAGCAACTTTATTCAGCTCATACTTATAGGTTGCAGTTCATCTTGGCAAGGAAGTTAGAGCAGTAGGAATCTTAGTCAGTGTTCTATTGCTGTGAAGAGACACCATGACCATGGCAACTCTTACAAAAGAAAGCATTTGATTGGAGGTGTTGCACCATGACCATGGCAACTCTTACAAAAGAAAGCATTTGATTGGAGGTGTTGTGGGATATTTGTACACTTTGTGAAAATGTATTGAGGTGATTGGTATAATAAAAAGCTGAAAGGCCAATAGCTAGGCTGGAGGTATAGGTGGGACTTCCGGGCACAGAGAGAGGAAGAGGAGGAGAGAATCAAGACACATGTGAGACGTCAACAAGACATGGAGGGACGTACAGAATATGTCGAACATACAGAATAAAAGAAAGGTTAAAAAACTATGAGGCAAAACATAGATTATATAAATGGGTTAATTTAAGTTATAAGAGCTAGTGGGACAAGCCTAAGCTAAGGTCAAGCTTTCAATAATTATAAGAAGTGTCATTATTTGTGAGCTGGTGGCCAACAGCAAAGCTTGCTACAGGGGGATTGCTTCCGGTTTCAGAAGTTTAGTCCAGTCTCATCATGGTGGGAAACATGGAAAGCTTGGTGCTAGAGCAGTACTTGAGACCTACCTACTGACCCAAGGCAGAGAAAGAGAGACATTAGGCTTGACATGGGCTTTCGAAACCTCAAGGACCACCCTCATTGACACACTTCCTTCAACAAGGCCACACCTCCTAATCCTTCTAATCCTTTAATATAGTGCCATTCCCTGGTGACTAAGCATTCACATATATGAACCTATGGGGGCCATTCTTATTCAACCACTCTGAGGAGCTTGACAGTACTGGCCACATTGCATCCACAGTTAAGAGCAGAGAGCAATGGATTGATGCTCGCCTGCCAGTGCTCAGCTGGCTCTCTCCTTTTCATTTAGTTCAGAGCCCAGCCCATGAAATCGTACCTGCTCACATTCAGGATGGGTCTTCCCACTCAACATAATCAAGATAATCCTCCAAAGACATCGTCAGAGATCTTCCTCACAGGTGATTCTAGTTCATGTCAACCTGACAATGAAAACTAACCACCAAGTACACACATACTCACATATATACATAAAGTGGAGAAAATGCTGTATATATAGATTGTATCTTACTTTTCCATTTAAAATGGTATTTCAATAGTCCATTCTCTCTCTTTTTTGTTATGTTGGGTACTGAACACAAGTTCACCAACATTTTAGGCAGGCATTCTAACCACTGAAATATACCTGCAACCCAATTTTTCCATTTAAAAAGTTTGAGATTTGTTTATGTGCATAGCTATTTTGTCTGCTTATATGGCAGTGTACCATGTTCGTGCCTGGTGCCCTTGGAGGACAGAAGAGGGTGATCCCCTGGGATTGGAGTTACAAATGGTTGTGAGCCTCTATGTTAGTGCTGAGAACTGAGCCTATGTCCTCTGGAAGAGCAGCAAGTACTCTTAACCTCTGAGCCATATTGTCAAACTCCATCCTTTATAAGAATAATTCAACAAAATTGCGGCTTAGTTACATATCATATAGCTTCATGACAGCTTTTATTTAAAGTAGCCACTCATCCAAACATTTTTGGATGTTTAAGTTTTCAGCTTTTTTGGGCTATTACAAACACTGCTGGCCAGGGAGGTAGCTCAGTTCATAGAGTAATGCTTGCCTTGGGTTTGATCCAGAGCACCTCATAAAACCGAACGCAGTGGCAACACCCTGGTAACCAGAACACTCAGGTGGTGGAATCAGGAAGATCAAGTTCACGTTCACCCTCACCTAAACAGCAAGTTAGAGGCCAGCCTGGGAAACAAGAGATCCTGTCTAAAATGAGAGTAAACATTTCCATGCTGAACATCTTTATGTACATGGGTTATTTCCTTAGGATTAGTTGCCAAAATTATTCAGTAAGTGGGCAAGATATGATCTCATATTTATCACCAAGTTTTTGTAGGGGTGGATTTAAGCTAGGGCCTTATACCCTGGAACTGAGACTGAACTTGAATTCACTAAGTACCCCAGGCTAGCCTCCATTGCATGATCCCTTCGCCTTAAGCCCTTCTGGTGGTAGGCTGACATGTATGAGCCGTGCCCAGCCACGGGGACGGTCTTAAACGAATTCTCACAACTAAAACTTTTGTTCCTGTCTTAATTTGCTTTCTACTGCTGTGATGAATACTGTGACTAAAAGCAACTTGAGGAAGAAAAGGGTTATTTCATGTTATAGTTTCCAGTCCATCCGGAAGCAAAATCAGGACAGGAACTGAAGCACAGACCATGGAGAAATCCTGCTTACTGCCTGGCTCCCCATGGCGTGCTCAGTCTGCTCTCTTAAACATCCCTGGAACACCTTCCCAGGGATGGCACTACCCACAGTGAGCTGAGTCCTCCCACATCAACTGTCCAAAAAAAAAATGTCCCCAAAGACTTGCCTACAGGAATTTCTGATGGAGGCATTTTCTTAACTGAGATCCCTTTTTCTCAAATGACCTTGTCTTAGTCAGATTGACCAAAAAACTAACCTTCACAATTCCTACGCACTTACAAGGGGTGGGAGTAGAAAAATGACCTTTACTTTGGAGGTGGCTGAGTGGTAAGTACTTAATGTCACTGCCTATTTTTTTCCATGACAACGTGACATTGGAGTTGGTCACTTAG